CATGAAATATATCACATTCACTGTTAATATTAATATACAGGTTATTTTATACTCTGTGTGTGTTGTATATAAGTACGTGAGTGCTTCTGTTACAATTGCAAACCGATGATTTACATGTTTGTTTGCGTTGTGTTAAGCTGATATTAATAATAATATGGGTGTGTCTATTTATATGTAAAAATCTTTTGGTCGAGTAAAAAAAAAAAGAACCAACTGAATAGAAAATGAATTCCTCTATCTTTTTGAGCCATAATAATGTGGCAGAAAGGAGAGAGAGCGAAAGAGAAATACGACAAAACAGGGAAAACATGGTAAAATTTATTATTATTACTATTAGTAGTAGTATTAGTGGTGGTAGTAATATTGATGGCAGTTGGATAAAATGAAAAATGATTCATCAACTGAATATAGAAACAATTTTCTCACCACACACTACAAAATAACTGTAAGGCAGAAGTTAACTTTCAATTTTGTCTTATTTAACAATATTTCATTGTTGTTAATTTAATTCGACATCATGTGCATAGATGCACACCATATAATACACATGAAGGTATAAGAAAACAGTGTACAATAACATATCCTATTCATACGGAAATTGATAGGTATATACATACATATATGTATATAACTTTATTTATGTATATATATGTGTGTGTCTGAATATTTATGATCGTACTATTCTAATGTCCAAATCCCAAACAGACAATGAAGAATAAATGATTTGTACTTAATTTGTTCGACTATACAGACCTCAGGCAACACAAATTTTTATTATGTTGAAACATGTTCATATATACATATATATTATTTAAGTGTTTGTCTATAGCTGATGGGGCCTTTCTATATACACATCGAAAATAAAACGGTGTTTATTTATAAAAGTGCATGCATTAAAGAAGTTAACAGTGAAAAGTTTATTTCTGCATGAATGCTTTTGATGATGTGTATTAGTAATTTTTATGGATAGTTCAATTTCTTTATCTTTTTGTCAGTAGTTAATAGGATTATTAAGATATATATAATGATGACAATGCTAGCCATGATAGTCCAAAGAAACATAGGGAATGATAACAGTTTTGATATATTGAGTAAGGTGAAAAACTTTTAATTGTACGATATGAAGAATTCAAATATACATATCACACTGCAAAGAGTCAGGCGTGATATGATTATATAACCGTTCATCGTTTTCATTTAAAACTCAGTTTTTATCTATTGTATTTGAAATCAGAAGATTTAATGTGAAACGTTTAGTTCGTAATACTTACGATTTTTTTCATCTAAAAGAGAGAGGATCATCGTAGTAACATTTAATCAGTATCATATACTAAACATGAGTAGAATGATTACAATTCAATTGTATTGTTCAATGGTTACATTCATAGTCGAAATCAATACAAAATTAACTTTCAAGGTTTTTCATAGCGTTCAATTGAACATACCCCATACTTTCAGAATTCATCTCTTACAAACAATAGAAATCGTAGAAATATGTATAAATAAACTTAATGTATGTTCACATGAAAGTTTATTCAGTTATTTAATTTACCATTGAGCTTCTACATAATTGCGCTTACACTTCTTTTCCAAAATTTCGCTCAATCTTAATCTCTGGTCCTATTCTCTTTTCACAAATAACACTAAAAATTATGTATAGATACTCAATTTCAAACATTATTCCCGCTTTTATTCTTACGCAACCAGTAACAATGAGAAAAGCCAAAAAATGTTATGAATTTCTTTCAAATCGCGCCAATAGGTACTGGTCGATATGGCGAACCTGGAGTCTTGAAGGAACTAGTGGTCCTTGTCAGATTTGAAGCCGTATCACTCAGTTTTATAGTTAGGGACGTTACCATTGAGCTTTTCGAGCCTCCTTTGAGAGGATGTTTACATTGGCTGACTAGTGAGTTTTAGTCTCACAGGAAGAGCTGTTTCCCTTAAGGTCACAAATGCATCCTGATGATGAGTGTCATCTAGTAAGAAACATATTTTTAGTAGAGTTTCCAAACAACAGTTATAAATAATCTACTATCGAAAAATTATATACTGGAATTCGCGTCACTTGAAGTCTGATCGACACAAATTAATCAACATCAAACATTATACAAGCATGAAATTGGTTTATGTTCAGTGATCGATCCACGTACATATTCATTTCGTATAGTTCCATACAATCAAAATTTTGTAGAAATGATTTATAGTGTAAATAAAATAGTAAATTATCTTGTCCACATGCTACTCACAGATGATAACAAAAATGACCATCAACAAACAATCTTCAGATCGTAGGAAGTCAATAAAATTTAGAATTCACCATTAATCCATTTCGTTATCAAGTAATCTGAGTTGAAACATTAAGCTACTCAGTTTCCATAGAGTCAAATCAACTTGGTCTTACAATCTACAGTTTTTCATTGATTAATTATAATTAAGGACAAAGTTGATCTGAAAAAATGTGATGCATTTGCCTCAAATATTTCGATAAATTTAATTACAATTCACAGATCAACTTCATCTTTTTTTTGTCACAATTTATTAATGGGATTCATTACTTTGAATTACAATTAGCTTTTAAACAAGTAGTAGTTTGTAATAATCTGCTATATTTTATATTGAGAATTTCCCTAAATGTAACCGAATGTACGATAATGATATGATTATTGAGATCATTAAAATCTTTTCTATTTCTCAAGTAATCTTCCACAAAAACTGTTTGAAGTCATAGTGATATGATTATTTGGTTGAGTGAGTTTGTATATAAAATTTTCTTAAAGATATTATTTAACATAAGATCATATAACTCATTTGAAATCTTACTCTACTAACTTGCAGTTTAGATTGCCATACTATTCTAAATTCACTCTTGTATTATTCCTAATTGGTGTCTGTTATCTTAATCTATAAATTTAGGTGTATCCTATGTGCTTACTGAGTTGTCCGGTTATCTTTTTCTCCTCTTATACAAGTTTCCTCACACATGCTAAATTGCACACTCCCACAACACATGGTAGATGTGAACAGTTATATATTCGCATTTCATCAGTTGATTTACTCCTAGGGCAGTTCCATCCTCCTGACCGAGCTGCGCATCACAATCCGCTTTAGCATTCATGATGAGTATGTTATCTGCAAGCTATTCAGTTGGAATACAGTAATACATAGTTTCAACATCGTTATATGATATGACAACAATCCATCCATAATAACAAAGGTACTTTATAGTGAGGAATAATGTTTTTATTCTAATTAACTGCATATATTTCAATGATGAACTGATTGGAATATTTTCTGGCTCACTAAGCAATTTGTCACTAACTTGTAGACATTCAAACAGCAATATTTCAGGTGTTCTATGAAAGTAACTAATAAAGTAAACAGGTAATTAGATAAGTAGGTTATCAGTATCATATTGTTACATGATCTACAATTTTCAGTGGTACTTTTGATGATATCACTTCATCATAAAAGTCATCTTGTATTGGTTGTTCAAATCCTTCCTTTGATATCATGATGTTCAACGGATCAGTTTCTTTTAGCATATTTTCATCCAGTATGGATTACTTGAATATTCCCATTAAGTCACAAACATTTCGATAATATACAGATGTAGTAAAAACAACGTATATATAGAATATCATATTAATTAATTATAATATAAAATAAAATTTCATGTTTTAGTTATTTATTACAACTTTGTTTAGTAACTAGTTACCATGTTAGCAAACCTCAACATATCCATTTTATTATCACAATTATCCATCACTAACTGGTATAGTTTATAAGAGTACACTTCAACGACTATATGTAACTTAATGGAAAATAATAATAAAACTAGTCATAATCATATTAATAATATAGTAGATGAAAATTTACTTTTTGATAAATGAAAAACACAAAACAAAAAATACACAATTAATCATAACAATATGATCTCTATTCGAGTTACAATTTATTTGAATAGTGAATAGTGCATGTACGTGTGTGTGTGTGTCTCTCTCTCTCCCCCTGTGTGTATGTATGTGAAATAAAACCAAAGTGAAAACATATAGCTCTAGTTACTAGTACTGAATATCTACTAGATATATATTTATGTGTATATGTGGCAATTATATCTTCCTTCTTATAATCGTTTTGATGTCTCACTATAAGCATAACTACAAATTATGTCTTTGTATAATAATGAAATGAATTAAATTATACAGTTTTATCTATTTCATAGACAATAGTTAAACATACATGATTGTTGGTATGTATTACTGATTCTTAATTGTACTCTCATTAACAGTTTGGCTTTTTAAAAGAAAAGTAAAAACTTCCTGTCTGTGTTTATATACATATATATATTACACATTCATGTCATTTTGACCAAACAAATGATCTAGAGAGCAAGGCAACAAAATAAAAATTCTATTTATTACTATAATCTATTATGATAATACAAAACAAAACAAAACAATTCTTATCTAAACTATATAACGTTAGATAAACACAGTGCATATATGATGATAATATGTAGGTGATTGGAAAATCAGCTCAGTTAGTTAAATGGGAGTATTAAGCACCTGTCGACATTCATATAAAGTAGTAATTCATTTAGATGATCAATTAAGACATACATATATCTGTATATAAATAGACATGTGTATATATGTATCCATACAAACAAACAAACTATATGATATTTCATGAAGTTAAAATAACACTACTTTACATTCATCATCTTTTAGTAAAAATTGAAGGAGACGAATAATAAGTCTACTAATAAAAATAGAGAAAGAAAATATTGAAACCCTAAATTTTGACTCAATCACTTATAGACATAAAAAAATGATGGTGATAGAATAATAATAATACGCTAAATTAAATTTAAAAAAAGTATAGAATACATGTTTGGATTGGTTCCCAATATTATTTGTTTTTAGTAAGTCCTAATTATACTGCGCCCACCATTAGTATGTCTATATATATATATATAGTGTAGAATTAAGGATACAAAAACATTAATTCATTTCAAATCATTTTGAGAATGGTCTTTCGAATTGAAGGTAAGTTAAAATTAGATTATTTAATTTTGTAAACCACATACTGAAGTGGAGATTATGATTCTTTGAATAATAGAGTATATATATATATATATATATATATATATATATATATATATATATGTTTGCAAATAAAAAGTACAGTTATATTATGTTTGACTTTAGATAATAAGACCTATTCTTTAAACATAAATTGGTTTGATATTTGTCATTGATTACTATCGTTGTATATCTGTAATGAAACAAGACTCTATGCTTTGTTAATGATTCAAACTAAGGTCATTTAGAACTTTTATTTTAAAAAGAATAAGTATTAGTTTCTTTGTTAGAGAGCACGGATTAAATAAACGAACAATATATCAAATTCACTTGATGTTGTTTTACTTGAATCTTCAGATTGATGTTTTTGGACTGAAATTGATCAGTCTCTTATTGGCATATGTGCATACTGTGCGTATGCCTCGATATTGCCTTAATTTACAAGCATTATAAGCAAAGATGGATAGTGGCTAGCAGTGGAATCCAGGACGCGCGTTTCGTCCTGTTTGGGACTCGTCAGCTGGATGTACCTGCATCTCAGAGTTGATATTCACTCTGGGACTCCAGGTCAGTACCGTTCGCTTCAAACGCCATCGCGTTATCCACTTAGCTACTGAGTCCTAATAGCCACTTGCTTGTGCCAATAAGAGACTGATCAATTTCAGTCCTAAACATCAATGGGAAGATTCAAGTAAAACAATACCAAGTGAATTAAACTTCACCCCATTGTACAAGCAAGTGGCTATCAGGACTCAGTAGCTAAGTGGATAACGCGATGGCGTTTGAAGCGAACGGTACTGACCTGGAGTCCCAGAGTGAATATCAACTCTGAGATGCAGGTACATCCAGCTGACGAGTCCCAAACAGGACGAAACGCGCGTCCTGGATTCCACTGCTAGCCACTATCCATCTTTGAATATATCAAATTGTTTACTTTAATAGCCAGATATTATACTTGATCTACTAAATTTTATCAAAAGAAAATAATTACTATAAAATATTACGAAGTCAAGATTGATTTTCTTAGAATAACCTCATAATTTCAATAATCCTGTTAAATATATAGAGATAAAAACATTTGTGACATCAGATTTCTATTGATTACTTTATGAAAGTTTAGAACCAAAACTTTACGTCATGAACTAGGCACTTTTTAACTATTCAAGAGTGAATTAGTTGTTAAAAGAAAAACTTTTGATTTGACAATTGAATATCATTTTCCTCGGTTACAAAGTATAAAAGAAACTTTTTAATGACTATTTATAATAAATTTAAAATTTAGAATATTATTTAGAATGTTGATTCGTGGATTGTTTGAAGTTAGACATTAACACGGTTGGATGCCGCCTAGCTCAGTGGTCTAGTGGTTAGGTGCTCGCGCGCGAAACTGATAAGTATTGGGCTTGAATCTCCCTGAGCGGGGTCATGGATGCGCACTGCAGAGGAGTCCCATGCTAGGACGAAACGGCCGTTCAGTGTTTCGGGGTTTTCCATGGTGGTTTAGCTTAAATTGACTCATGATTTCAACTATTAAAATTTTGAAAATGCTAAATATTTTATTTATTATATCTGCACTTAATAAGAATAGCTTTTAGTTCGGATGTGTTGTAAATTTGCAGGATGAAAAATAGGACAGCAACATTAATATACTGATAAATAGAAAAAAATATAAACAAAATGTTGAGTTAAAGCAGTTAATCCCTTTGATTAATTTCGATAATGCAATAAGAAGTTTATCAGAATTATGTGATATATTTAGATGAACACATACCAAAAAGGCTGTAGAAACAAATGGATTCCAATGGTCAAATAAGATCATAGGATAGACAGACATCATCCTCCATTGCAAAACATTTGATTGAGACTGGTCATAAGGTTGATATCAAGTCAGCATTTGTAGTGTTATTCAATAGCCTTCAAGGACATATATTAAAGTTTACTGAAGCCTTGGTTATAGGGTAATTGCCCCCCCCTTTACACGTAACCTACCCTGGTAATACTGATTTATTATCCAGAGTGGTAATCACATTTGTTTTTGTGTAGTTTAATATTATTTTTTTCTTTGTTATGGCTTACCTTTAACCTGTCTAGTTGACCTTTTAATTTTCATATATAAATGTTCTTAACAAATATATGTGTGATCGGATTGTTCGAAATGTATTGCGCAAATATATCACATAATTCTGATAAACTTCGTCTTCATATTGCATTATCGAAATTCATCAAAGGGACAAACTGTTCTAAATATTTCCATTCGACAAACGTTTTACGAATAATGAATCGCTTGACTGAATCATCTTTTATTTGTTGAAGTGCTCTTTACAGTGAATCAGTCAGTAGAATAATAAAGAAAATTACTCAGTTGAAATGAAATTTCCGCTTTAGATATAATAGAAAAAAGTGACTTAATAAATGAAGAATAAATAGTGCTTTTATATGTCATATGTGGTAAAAAAAACAACCCACAATGACTGCAATGGTAATCATTCCCCTCTAAACAACTAAACAAAATAAACTCAAACTAGTACAATCTCGAAAATATAAGAAATTTCTGTTCAATAATACAAAATACAATACTATACAAATAATGTTAGATGTAATTATGACATGATGATATCAAATGAACTTCTTACTATACCTAACATCGATTTCATCTAAGTTGATATAAATTCCATGCGGCCTATTTGAATATCTGGACTATCTGTTCCTGCCATCTAGATATTTCAACAAGTTATCTGTTTTCTTGTCTGTTTTAATACATTATTATGCCAATTAATCGCATAACCTATTCAATAGCGTTTGTGACAAGTTTGCGACATTTCACTGTACAAGTTACAAAACAGTCCAATCAAATACACTGTGGTTGCTGGGAATATGCATCGAAAAAAATATGTATATTATTCAGATATCGATTCCCGAACTTTTAACATCTAACTGACGACCACTCAATATTTATCTCAAGGATCGATCAAGAAATAAGAAAAAGAAACTTGTTGAAATACATTATGCTGAGAATTCTATATTGTACCAAAAATATAATATTGAATAAAGCCAATGATAATAATAATAATAATAGACTCAAATTGATAACATAATGATCAGCTACCACTATCGTGGTTGTGTACAAAATTGCCGCTCCTTTTGAAGTACCGATCTGGACTCTGATCATGCTGTTGTTTGCGATAATCTTACCTTACATATCAGTGGTCAAAAAATTCATCGTCCTAAATGGATCGATGTCAGCAAATTGACTTCAGCTTCTGTTGCAACTAAATATCAAACCGAGCTAGGTAATAATAATGATAATAATAAACAGTCCTCATTTTATGAAAAAAACACAAAGAAAACAACATTATAAGCAAAGATGGATAGTGGCTAGCAGTAGAATCCAGGACGCGCGTTTCGTCCTATTTAGGACTTGTCAGCTGGATGTACCTGCATCTCAGAGTTGATGTTCACTCTGGGACTCGAGGTCAGTACCGTTCGCTTCAAACGTCATCGTGTTATCCACTTGGTACTGAGTCCTGATAGTCCCTTGCTTATGCAATGGGATGAAGTTAATTCACTTGGTATTGTTTTACTTAAATCTTCTTTTAATTCATTTCAAATTATTTATTCATTCATTTATTTCATATTTTCTTTATTTCTAGTAAATCTTGGTAATGGATTCCTTCTATTTAAAACAATGAAACGGAAATTTAATCATATACAATCAGTGAATAAATTTAATATAAATAAAATAAAACATATAAAATATTGTCAAAAATATTGTACATATTGTAGTCCTGAACGATATACCATATTAATACATAATGAACATTTAAATCAAATTCATTATACAATGTGTCCATATGATGAATTATTAATTATGGCTAAATCAATTTGTACAAATTTAATGCAAGATAATAATCAGAACGATAATAATAATAGTATAACAATCTTAGTCTTATCGTAAGTTTTCAATTTGTTTACTAATATGAAATTTATTTGTTTAATGATTCTCATCTTATTCAAAGACTAATATTTCAACGAAGAATAATCTTGTCGATATATTCTCTTCAGGTTCTACAATTCATAGATCCAAATTAATAATCTGAAAAGTGTCTAGGTTAAGGGTAAAGTAAATCATTTAAAGTTAAAGCATGTGAATTTAAGATTTCAATAGTTAAAATCATTAATCTTGCAGGGGGGGCGAGATTATAGATGCGCACTGCTGAGGAGTCCCATACTAGGACGAAACGGCCGTCCAGTGTTTCTAGGTTTTCCATGGTGGTTTAACTTCAATTGAATCATGATTTCAACCACTGAAATTTAGGATTGTCAAATAAAATAAACAAGATAGAATAAAATTGTTAATGTTGACATGACTTATATGGAATGTTAATTTGAATTAACTCATCTATTAAGTGGGAATTTAAGATCCATGATTAGAATAAATATGGTTTAGATAGAGTGAGAGAAATAATAGTGCAATTACAGTTCGATCAAATGTCTAATCAAAGACTATTTTATGTAAAAAAATGATTAGTAAGACATAATAAGTTGGGATGAATAAGAAGTAAGTGAATCATGTATTGGGGAGATTAATCATGATGTTTAACCAATAGTAATAACAATAATAATAACAATTTCAATGGTTGAGAGCATGAGTCAATTGAAACTTGACAACCACTGAAAACCTGGAACCACTGGACGGCCGTTTCGTCCTATTGTGGGACTCCCCAGCAGTGCTCATCCACGATCACACCTCGCGAGATCCAAACCCACGTCCTATCAGTCTCGCGCGCGAACTCTTAACCACTAGACCATTCACCTAGCATCCAACCGTGTTAATGTCTAACTTCAAACAATCCACGAAATTGAGCGACATATTCGCCATTGTCTTCGGTGAGTTACTATGTCACAACAGACCTGGTTGAATTCCACTGGTCACTGCTTATCACTAGAACTTCATGAAATACCTCTTAAAGCATAATAGTAATAATAATAATACAAAGATTTGTGAATAAAGATAACAGACAATTATATTTGACTACTAAAGGTCGGATTATTAATTTAATTGTAGAACCTGAGGAGAATTTATCGAAGAGAATATTCTTTATTCTAATGTTAGTCTTGAAATTTATTTGTTGTTTTTCAGATAAATCTACATCATGTTAAATGTTTTACTATCAAACTAAGCGTTCTGAATATTGCAATTTTATAATGACGTAGAATATTTTGACTATTCTAGTTAACCAACATGTTAAGATTTGAAGATAGTTGGAAGCTGACTAACTGATAGTCACTTTTAAGTTGTTAGTGAAGAGTTTAACCAATGTGTTTATTTACTTAAACGCTTATCATGAAGTCTATTCATACTATTATTGTTCACAGTTCCCTCTCGAAATGCTCTCACGTGGCCACGAGTATATAGCTTCTGCCAGGGAAGTCTTACTCACTGCCTTCTCGTGGCGGGGGTGTTGTTTACGAAAATGTGAGGAAAGCGAATGTCCGGATCCCAAACCAATGGTGCATATGGGCTCCAGTATCTTGAGGGAACGAATGGCGTATGAATCAATCGTTGGTCACCGGCAACCATGGGACTGCATATACTCACGATGCTCCACTGCCTTGTGGGTCAAACCTTTAGGCCAAGGGATCGGGGTGTGGCCCCCTAAGAAAACTACCGGCTTCGGTTCGGGCACCCGGGTAGCACATGGTATACAAATGAAATTTATAATTTTTCCTGAGGAGACATAATCACGTTCATAGTTTATCAGTCCAATAAGATTAAATGTTTTGTTGCGACACTGGTTTACCTGAGGATGTATTTCGTAAACAATAAAGGAATATACTTGTAGTATTGAATTATCTGTTTTTTGAATTTTAATTAGATGACAAGGGATTAATTTGTTTGTGTACGAAGTTATAACCATTTCATTTATGACAACAATAAGCTTAGACATTTTTAAAGTTTGAGAAAATAACAGTGATTCTGTTTCATTTCAGTCTTAAGTGTTTGAATCTTCCTGTTGTTAGTTTTAAGAAGTTGGACTGATTGGTATTTTTCGGTATATGTGTATTCTGAGCATATTGCTTCCATAATGCTACCAGTCATTAAAATCATTAAATAGAGGTAGATATTGGCTAACAGTTTTCGTGACTAGTGGGAATATTGAGGCAATCCGTACAGCGCGCACATGCTCCATAAGAGATTGATCATTGTGGTTCTCAACACTCACGAAAGAACAATTTATACCGTCACAATTAGACCACAACAAATTTTCAAAAACCTGTGACTAACTCTACTCATTAGTTAAGTGGGTAGAGTGTTGACGTTTCAAGAAAAAGCTTCAGGTCCCGAAGTGAATATCAGGACTGATATAGGCACCTCTAGTTGACAGGTTCCAAATAGGACAAAATATGAGCCCTAAATTCCACCGCCAGTCATTGTCCATTTCAACTTAATAATACCGCTTGTTAGTTAATTCAATCTGTTTTGGTGATACCAGTACTAATTGTTAGATCATACTAAACTCCAAATATTAATCTATGGTCAAGGAAAAATTACAGAAAAAGTATGCATCGCATGGTTTCTGGCAAAAAATTGTAAGTAGTGTAGTTAAGAAAATATTAGGAGTGAAATAGAAATCTCCAATGACATTCTATAATAATCATACAATCTCTAGAATTAAGTGAATTTGGAAATATGAACCAATCGATTGCAGATGATGAGTCTACGATTTGACGAGTTGAACATGGGGCCTGAATCTTCTAGAATTTGTATAAAGATAGATCATGAGTGCTAACTACTTAGGAATCTCAAACTGAAAGGAAATAACCATCCAGTAATCGCTGGTTTTAAGTAGTCATCTAGTTGATATCAGCCTTTGGCTAAAGATATCTCCAAAAACTTATCACTTGAAGTCACTCAAAGAGTGTTATCTTACAAGCATATTCAGTAAACTTATGAAAAAACTTAGCATACTACTTCAATTATTTCTTTATTTTACAGGATAACTTGCGGTAAACTTTCCAATTTCACAAGATACAATCCTGTTCTTATCAACCGAAACATCAACACTAGTACCAACAACAACAAGAACAATACTCCTCCTCCTACTAATATAAGTAGTACAAGTCATACAAAATCATCAAGTCCCCTTAACACAACAATCTCTATAAATATTCAAACTATTAGTAAGACAATTCAACGAGCTAAACTGGAAAAAGTTGATTATAAGCAATCCAGAACAAAATCTAAATGGGGAATTATTAATTTATCCGCGTGTAATAATATACATTCTGATATTTCAATTGATCTAAATACTTCAGTGAATAGTATGAACGATGGAAAAAAGAATATTTGTTACACTTATGATAACCATTATCATTATTATTGTTGTTATTATTACTATTACTATTATTGTTATCATTATCACTATTATTCATATCAAAAATCACCTTTGTTTACAACGTTATGGTCTGAGCATATCTTGAATAGTGGGAGTAAAGATATCCAGCTGGTAAGTAAAGAAATAAACTCTTTATTTTAAATTTAATTAGAGAGTTTACGAAAAATTTTCTTATCCAGTTTCTGTTAAGATAGTTTTCACCGAAACTAATGTCAGCGGGAAAATGACGAATAAAATCATCTACTGTTAGGAAAATTCAATTATATAGTAGATAATAGTGAACTATCGGGAATGAAAGAGAAAATCTAATTAATAAACCTAGATTTCAACAAACAACTTAATCTCAGTTTGACTATTGAAAAGCTTCCTTCAGTATAACTTAATGATCCGTTATAGGATAAGACAACGGTTACTTTTAAAGTAAGTTCATCATAATTTCGTGAACAATTTGCTTTTATTGCGTAACATATTTCAGTATAATCCCTGATTTCATTAATTCTAGATAGTGGTTTAAAGTTAATACAGATCAGATACACAAATAATATTATATGAATTTAATTCCAGTGTATGTCTTCATTAAGAATTTGTTTTTCTGAACAATTCTTTCATACATTATTGTATTGGATATTTATGTGAAGTGACATGAAAGTTCAAACTGAAGAGAATTTAAATTCACTTGGTAATGTTTGGCTTGTATCTTCCCATTGAGGTTTAAGACTGCAATTGACCAGTCTGTTATTGGCATATGTGCATACTGTGCGTATGCTTCGATATTGCCTTAATTCACAAGCTTTTTGTATGCAGTTATGGATAGTGGCTAGCAGTGGAATCCAGGACGCGCGTTTCGTCCTATTTGGGACTCGTCAGCTGGATGTACCTGCATCTCGTAACCTCGTTTTGATTAAAACATTCCCGAAATCGCCAGTAAATTTTAAAAGCAGTTTTTTGATATCAAATATCACATAAAATTAATCTTTGTAACTTAAGGGACAAGTTTACATTGAGTTTCATTTATACAAATGGGAATGAGAAGCGAATAATTCATTAGAGTATTTATATTACTTGCCGAATTTAAGTAGGCAAACATTTTATGTTAAACATGAAATTTTAAGAATAGGAGGTATGATGAAATCTATGTATTTTAGAACTTAAGCGGTACCTCAAACGAAAATCAAGCTGAAAAGACTAACACTACAAAGGTAGCGTAAACCTTTCATGTTTCATAGGTAGATATAAAATACCCATCAAGTTGAGATAAGAATTTGGAACAATAAGTAAAGCAAACTGATGAAATATTTGAATTCGATCAAAATCATTGTCAAGAAAATAGGAAGGTAAAAAATGACACATTGCAGTTACTAACACCGAATAAAGTAGTTGAAACTTGTTATTCCTTATCAATTATCCAACCGGATATAGAATTGTTATACTGTAGAAGAGTTTAAAAAGAAAATGGAGATTAAATCAAGACACTGGACCAAATAATTGGCTATTTATCTAAGCTGTGTCAGGAAGCTATAACTTTCTGATTAAGGTCTCTGAGATACTCATAATCTATGACAAAAGGAATTAGTTGATTTATCTCAAAAAAACGACAGCAGCAGTGAAGATTCATTCATAACTTATCTCTTCTAAATTTAGAGTTTTAATACCACTTTATACTTTAGTTTCCCTGCTTCATTCAACACTTTTAAGTGCTTAGATTTTTATAACATTTGATGATATTACATTTAATCTTTGTGTTCTTATCTCTGTAATCTTATCAATCTGTGATAATATGACGTACGGTAAATTGAATCAATACACATTTATATAAACTACTTTATTGCTCGTAGTTGGCAAACACTAATCTAACTATCGACCTCCAGTATACACAGATCTCTAATCTAAACTGATCTTTGGTAGTAATCATTTCAGATAAATAAACTAGAACAGTTTTGGAAAATATTACTGTGACGGTATGATCAATATATTACCAATATTTACTTTAAGTAGATTTTGACGTCAATTTGCAATTTGATTGATAAAATCGATCAGCACTAATAAGAATTTGACATACATGACATTTGGTCATTATCCAGTAATCAGTCAATTGTAAGAGACCGTGATTGTTATTTATTAATGTTTGTTAGACATAAGATTTCCATATTATTTAGTTGTTAACATTCTATGTAATTGTTTGGAATTAATTAAGAGTATTTCTACGTAATACATCAATTAAACACTAAATTTACATATGCTCTAAAAACCATTACAAAATCAACATCGTTGTTTAGTTAATCTTGTTTAATGTCCTAACTATTTCCCATGTTTCATGTGATCAACATTCCTATATAACCTAATGAAATAGTTTATATCATACTTCTGGGCATTTCACATCAACGACTATAAATATTCATCATATGATCATGCTAGTCATAGGTTACTAAAGAAATTACACGTAAATACTTTCTTAATGCACAAGATGTAATGTAAGTTATACGTGGTATTTATAAATATTAGGCCAAATGTAATTCTTATAACACTATCCAAATTAGTTTATTATAAATTATTGATGAATAATACACTAACTAATTCTGTCTTTTAGTTTTCACATAAAGAGATTTTGAAATCACTTCAATGATAATCATTCATAGGTCTCTCTTAAAGGATGGATGACATTTACAGTATTGTATATGTGTACACAAAATTGGATAGGTATAATTTCAGAAGATTATTATTCTAAATAAATATCATACTGACTAGTTCGATATGCTTAAATTCCTTATTCATTACACTAATTAATAAGAAAAACTGTTGGACCTTTGGATTGGCATATTTTATTGAAATGAGAAATAGACAACAACAAAAACACTATTATGCAATCATTGACTTTTAATTCTATAAAACAGCACACATAGTAAAACAAATTTTTTCTATGATATCTCACAAAATAATTTCAAGTTTATAAGGACAAGCTACTTGTAGCTAGTTAGACTGAGTTACCTACCAAAAAATATGATAGTTTTGTAAATAAATTTGGCATTGGTTTTTGATAGATTTCAGGATTTTTATTTATGATTTTGTATTATTATTGAGTTTAAATAACTTTTATGTTATGAATCAACTTGTAATTTCAATAGTTGAAATCATGAGTCAATTGAGGCTAGACCACTATGGAAAACCTGGAAGCACTGGATGGCCGTTTCGTCCTAGTATGGGACTCCTTAGCAGTGCACATCCATGACCCCGCCTCTGGAGATTCGAAATCAGGACCTACTGGTCTCGTGTGCGAGCATTTAACCACTAGACCAAAATAGGATGAAACGGCTATCCAGTGCTTGCAGGTTTTACACGGTTGTGTAGCTCCAATTGACTCATGATCTCAACTATTGAAATGACTGAAATCTTCACAAAACCCCTTCTGATACGAATTAACTTGTACTAACAATATTCGACTTATACAAAGTTTATTTTACCAATATGATATTATTTGACATAGTTATCTGAGTAGAAAAGAGACTTGAATAGGATGCTACAAATGGTTGATAGTTAATTATTTATTGATTAAGATGGTTACATAGTTATAATTACTAAATGGAATCAAATCCCGAATGAATATAAAAATATACAGAGCAACTGATTGATTTTGTTAATAAAGGAGCAAGAAAATTAACATAGCATGAAAAAAATAGGAAATTGTCTCATTACTCTAGGCTATAAAATGGCTTAAAGATTACCAGGGCAAATTCATGGTTACGACAAACTATTTCTGTACAGACAAATGGGGTTTGAATTTCCGGTTAACCATGGTTACTATAAACTTAAGAATTCGTCATTAGCATTTCCTATACAATGTTTTCGAGGCTGTATTGATGTCAGTTCGATGTTCTGTTTATATGTATATGTACGAACAGATTATTTGAAATGTAAAGCGCAGATACATCACATTTCTCAGATCAAATCCGTCATTTTATTTCTCGATCAAACTTTATAAATAGGACTAATTACTCTAAACTGATTGATTATTAAATTGACCTATCAATCACTAATACAGAATATCCAACAAATAAAAGTCAATAATATTTCATACACATAAACGGTGCATTATTAATTTGGATTAAGTCATCATTATAATTAACTATATATTTATCTTTACTTTAATAAGTTGATTAAATGATGAGATAAATGGCAATAGATTGTTAAATAAATCAACGTTTAGGAGCACTAAATGTTCACTCAATTATCATTTAGAGTCGATTTAGAAAGTTAAGACCTTCTATGTTAAGCTTTATGTTTATGTATATGTTAGTACGTTTTCATAAAGTAGATAGTTGATGAGAAAATTATCACACTAACTTACAGAAAGTAGTAAGAGAGTATACATATTGTATTTATCAATCCATCATCTTTAATTCTGAAACCATATAAGGGTTTTCAATTATAGTCCCTAATCACATGTATATAGAGTATCAGGTTAAAAACAAGCAATTATTGATCTACACAATTTAAAGAATAAAATAGGAATAATTTCACAATTATGAGTTAATTAAATGGTGTTAAATAAACACACTATTAGATAATGTTGTTTCCAGAAGAATTGAGTTAGTCATCATTATTAATTCAGCCTTACTGAATACATCGGTTAACTAAGCGATGAAATTTCTACGCCTGTTGACTAGATAATAATAACTGAATAAAGTATTAAAAATACAATGAAGAAACAATTCCCTGAAATCTTAAAAATGTAAGATTACGTGTAATGCAAATTATTGTAGAAAACAGTTCATTGAAGAGAATTGGTATATTGAAAAGTGGATGTATCCAGTAAGTTTGTTTTTCAATTCAAATATGAACTGATTAAACTATTTGCATTTATTTTAAATATACACATGGTGAAAACATTCATAGACTTGAGCTATATACTCACTAGCAACTATTAGTAGTTATTAATACATAATTTTTAATTAAGTGAATCAGTTTACAACAATGAAAATATGATGTAATATTGATCTCATACATTAGTATGATACACAACAACAGAAATCGAATATAGTTTACATTAGAGACTAATTTTACTTAGACAGCTATCAAGAAATCGAAAGCACTGGATGCCTATTCTATTCTAGTGTGGGACTCCTCATATTTCTGCACTTATGAGCTTTCCAGGAATCGAACCTTAAATTTTCGGATATCTGAGTTAGTACCCAAGTGTTCATATCTCCAAATTCAGTAAGTGTTAGGTATTGTGAGACTACCATCCATTATTATTTATAGTACTAAACCCAGTCCCAAGAATACTTATTATGATAAGTTATTACTTTTTTTTCGATTTGTTTCTTATTTTAGGGTTCAAAAACACCCAATATTAATTGTGACGCTTATACTCAAAAATTTAATATCACTCAAAACTCCAATAAAAAGCACACTGGTAATATGGAGAAAATATTCATAGAAAACGAAACAGATAATGTAAGTTAATGTTATTCTTGTGTTATATAACAATATTTAATTGGTTAAGATACTTTTAGCCATTAGGTCCTATTTGATTGTTTATTTTTGAATAAATTGCTAGTATCACTAATTCTTAGGCATAACACGTTACTCAAAACCAAGTATGGAGACTTTCATTTAGTTACTAAGTTGAATTAGTTAATTAATTTTACCAATTTCATAAATCAATAGAATTTTCGCCAACAGATTATCATACGATTTTGCATACCACTAAATATGTTATAATAAAATTACTGAAGTTATAAACGTGAATACTTCCTACATGATAAGTAGTATAATGTAAGATTCAATTTCCACTTTTTACATGAATTTCTAAGAAAATGATCAACATTTAAGACGTTACCTTGTGAATGGTTAATAATAATAATAATAATAATAATAATAATAATAATAATAATAATGAAATTTATGCATTTGAAGTCCATGCAGTCAACAGAGAGATGATGATCAAGTTTCGAATTGTATCATAATCACATTTTACTGGAACATGTCTGTTGACGATTGATGTTCTCTAGATATGTAATTATTTTTTAAGATCTATCATTCCATATTCAGTTACGATTCTATAATCCAACAAAGTGGCAACAATGATAATCATTCAGGTAAATGGAAAATAAAATTCTTCAGACCATTATTATTAGATTGTTGCAATTAGTATTTCTACAAGCCTGTGTGATTAATCCTAATCTTTGTTAAGATTAGAATAATTCATCTTTTCAAAGGTCAGGTTAAATCACATAGGTACGTAATAATACTAATTGCTACAAGATAACGAAATATTAGACACTTTATAATGAGTTCATAACAAGAATCAGAATATTCTTTATTAACCTGTCAACTCAATCATATACAATTAGTTTAAGGTCAAATTTATGAAACAATGAGTAGCTGATTAGGTTCGTTCAGATAATTAAGTTACAAAAATTTAAATGATCATAACTGTTGTGAGATAGTAACTCACTGAAGACATCGGCGGATGTGTCGCTCGATTTCGTGGGTTGGTTGAAGTTAGACATCAACACAGCTGGACACCGGCTCAGTGGTCTAGAGGTTAAGCGCTCGAGGGCGAGACCGAAGGTCCCGGGTTCGAGTCCTATGAGTGGGGTCGTGGATGCGCACTGCTGAGTAGTCTTATAGTAAGACGAATCAGCCGTCCAATGCTTCCATGTTTCTCATGGTGGTCTAGCTTTGATTGACTTATGAATCCAACTATTAACTCGTTTCTGTAAAGTTTGTGTTATTCACTGGATTTAAAAGAAATTTTATCTGGTATCATGTATGTGAACAAAAAATAAAATGAAATAAACTAGTAATCATAAATATCGAGCGAAATAAGCTGTAACGTACTGATTATTTGGTTCATGCCTGTAAACTGGCGTGAATTCTGTAATTATTATTTTCAGAATATATATTATTATTATTATTTTATCATTAGAGCAAAGTCCAATGTCAACCTACATCTGAACAGACTTATCACCTTTTTTGGAACAAGAGTTTATATATGATAAAATAAAATTAGATTCCATGGTTACTTAATTATTCTGTTGTGAGACATGAAGGTCCTAGTTTCGATCTCCGATGGAATCGTGCATGTGCACTGTTGAGTTCTATAATAGCTCTCAAGGGCTTCCTGTTTTTTAATGCTTGTCGAAATTAGGTTGGTCTGTGACTTTAATAACTTTCACTAGTTTCCACAAACCTCCGTACTGATATCTAATTAAGTCTAAAAGAAATGGCAAACTGCTATAAGATTGGTACAACAGGAAGATAAGTTCTGATACAACTCAAAATAATTTTTAGAAATATCTATCCAGTCGATTTACACATTACCAATGTACTTTTACTCTTTTTGGTGATAACGAACAGATGATTCAAAAGTTAATCATGTTCAATCATTCCCTATTATTTACTTTATCAATCAATAAAAATTCGTATACATTTAAAGTGTTAAATTTTTACTGTAATCACCTGACAAGGAATGAATGTGAAATCGTGATGGTATTGTGAGGTTGATTTACAATGTGAATACTTTTTCTAGAAAAAAAAAGAGTAAAACTAAGATTTGATAGGTGATATACAGTTTAAATAGAAGTAACACAACATTTTGACGTTTCCATCGAATTAGTCAGATATAGTCAGGTATTTTTATGTATTATGAAAGATGTATAGTTACTAAGGGGTTCATAATTAGCGAATTAATTCGATGTAATTATTTTCCAAAATTGTGATGTGATCATCAGTCAGGTTTTATATTATAATTTGCTTGAGCACTAGATCGATAACACTAGTAGGAACCATGTTATAGTCACTTTATCTTTGCATTAACGTTCTTGATGTCAGCATTAACCTACCAACCAAGGTTATCTTATTTGAAGATATAAACCAGATTTACACCGATTAGAAATACAATCTGTAATCTTAAAATTGTAACTTCTTTCTTTTATTATACCATTACCAAATCTAGTAGCTGACAAAGTTGATAATATTAATTGTTATCAGAAAGCGGATTTTTGTGGAGACTGTAGTAATTTAATAGTCGAATTTATGAGTCAATTAACTCATGAATTCAACCATTAATTTTTATTGTAACTAAGTAAAAAGGTGAAGGTCAATTTACTGCTCAATAATAGTCACTAGTTAATATGTAGGACAATTATATGTCGAGACTCCATATGCTTTTCTATGACTACATAATTTCTCTAAGATCAGATCATCTGGAATGTTTATACATTTCTGATGATATATTTTCGATCTGAGTTGTATTTTAAGTCAATTTCGCGTAGAGAACATGATGTAATGTCGGATATGTCGAAGGAAATCTTGTCAATAAGAATATTAACATATTAGTCACAAATACACCCAGAACAACCTGACTTTTTACTTAAAACAATAAAATATTGTTCTTTCGCTTAGAATTATACTCGTTCAAGATCTTGTATGAGAAGAGTTAACCTAATTCTCTGAAACTTGAAATTTAAGCGTCCGAACTCCATCACAAATAGTGTGGAGTTGATAGTTTGATGCTTAGAATGATTAGGCTAGATATCTAGTGCAATCTTCCTCAATAATTTTAACCTGCACACTTCCGCTTGATAATTATCTCACTCGAAACTAACGAATCTTAATTATACATTCTTAAATTTGAATTGATATATATGTTGAGATAATTTCATACCCACCTTTCGGTTTATGACTTAATCACAATTGAACTACGCATCTTGTGTGAGTATATATGGAACGGGGTTTTAACTTGGAACCCAGCGACTGGAAGCTAAATATTTTAATCACTAAGCCACTACTCACTTAAATGAAAAGCACCATCAACTGGATAATCGAAGAACATATAAAATCATACGAAAACTTACCGTGAATTTTGTTGAAATCTTGGATAAGTTTAATATATCTTATATATTTATTGCGATAAAATGACATGAAAGTTTGTGTTTCTTTTTTTTAAATAATAGGAAGTAATGCGATATATGTCTAAGTTTGATTTGATCAAAAACTGTGCTCAAATAAGATCCGAAAACCACAAACCAAACAGATTGGTAAGTTCTAATGATCATATATATATATATATATATATATATATATATGCATGCGCATAAACTATCACCTATCTGGACTCAATAGCTAAGTGGATAACGCGATGGCGTTTGAAGCGAACGGTACTGTGTACGAGTCCTAGAGTAAACATCAACTCTGGGATGCAGACACATTCAGTTAGTGAGTCCCAAATATGACGAATTGTGCATTCTGGATTCCACTGCTAACCACCATCTATCTCTGATCATAATACTTTTGACTTAAGGCAACATCGAGGCAATCCATACAAGATGCACATATGCCAATAAAAGACTGATCAACTACAGTTCTAAACATCAAAGAGAATATTGATAAAACCAACACAAAATTGAGTTATGCATGTTTAGTTGTTTGACTGTAGTTTGTGAATGTTAAAAGATTATGTATATACATATTTTTAAATAATGAAAGATTTGTTATTTGTGATTTTAGAAAGATCTACAGTTATCAGTTAATTTACGTCCGCCAGAACCTGTTGGTTGTCAACTACTGCAAATGAATTCAGCACCAGGTAAGTTTAATATTATTCATAACTCTATTAAAGGGATACTAGACACAAAAATAAGACATTATTGAGGAACCACTTCCGAGATAGTTGTCATCGTGAAAGTTAAAAATCAGGTATACTGATCAGCTGTTTTGTTTGAGTTGGGATTGTGGAATAATTCGTTTCTTTGTTTTCCACTCAGCATGTTATGGATTGAGAAAAGTAGAAAATTTAATGACGGGGGTTGCGGATGTCACATGATTTTACTTGTTCAAGCTTAGAGTAATTAATTAAACATAACTAAACTTATTATGCTTTTCATGATGTAAACATTGTAAAACTATTAGGTCTAGTAAGACAGTATATATACAAACCACATAGTTCAAAAAGATCGAAAAAGCTTTTGCAGTCGGTATTCATTAGCAATAACTGGTAAAAAAATTTACAAAGAGGCACGATTACGTATCATAAGATTAAAGGTATAATTGACAATAAAGTGGTAACTGAAAGCCCTCAAATACCCTGGTATGGCCGAGGGTCGGGAGAGTCCATTGTCCCTGTCGAAATGCTGTCATATGGCCACGTGTATACAGCTACTTCTAAGGAAATCCTATTGACTTCCTTCTCGTGGTGTGTGTTGTTTACGAAATTGAGAGGAATAAAGGTTAATGTCCGGCGCTTTAACCAGGTTGGTGGAAACGGAGGGTTGGAAATCCCTGATTCCAAACTAATGGTACATATGGGCTCCAGGATCTTGAGAGAACAAAAGGCGTATGAACCAATTGTTGGTCACCAGCTACCATGGGACTGCATTTCCTTACGTTGCTCCACTGCCTTGTGGATTAGACCTTTAAGTCAGACGACCGGGAAGGGGCCCCCTAGGAAAACAACCTGCTTCGGTTTGGGCGCCCGGACAGTATCACAGCCCCCACACAAATCGAATGTTTCGAGTGGCGCATATATATGTGGCGCCTCCTTGTACCAATGTTTATGTGTGACTGATAAAATCTGGTTTACTACAGAACTACTCGGGAAAGAGACATAAAAACAAATGGTAGCAAGAGTTACTCAACTATCGTTTGTTGTCCTCTGAAACCAATGACAAGTATATCACTGAAACAAGTTTTATCTATCCAACTGCTATCGTTACAAAAAATCATCTTAGCCCGAAATAATGAGCATAAACTATAAAACTAAAAGATTGTCTTCTCCACTTTGCGCTAGCAATCTAGTAGAATGACCTAAAATAATGGAATGTATTCCTTATTTTACCATTTAGATTAGACTGTCTAATTATAGTCTTTATTTACAAACATAAAACAATATAAAATTACAGATCCTAGTAAATAAATTTAGTAAATGTATACCTTTCATGAAGTATGAAGGGACTAGTTGTCGACCTTTTCACATACTTCGTGAAACAGTTGTTTGACATAGTAATAGCGTATTGTAAATTCAGTAACAGACCAGTGTTTACTTACGACTGTCACTACTCCTGGAGGAGCATAGGCCTCACACCAGCATTCTCCATCCAACTCTGTCCTGGGCAATCCTTTTCAGGTGCTATTCATCCTTTGGCATCTACTTCCAATTCTCAGCGCAGTGTGTTCTCTGGTTGTTATTTTCTCCGTTTCCCTTCAGGATTCCAAGTTAGTGCTTGCCTCGTGATGCTGCTTGGAGATTTTCGAAATGTATGTTTTATCCACTCCCAGCGTCTTTTCCTAATTTCTTCAGCTGAAGGCTGGTTTGTCCTCTCTCACGGTAGGCTGTTGCTGATGGCATCCAGTTAACGGACAGTGAGTATCTTGCGTAGGAAATTGTTTATAAATACTCACAATTTTTTGATGATGGTTGTAGTAGTTCTCCAAGTTTCAGCACCGTACAGTAGGACCGTCTTGATGTTCGTATTGAAGAATCTGACTTTGATATTGGTTGACACTTGTTCCGAGTTCCACATGTTCCTCAACTGCAGGAAAGCGGTCCTTATTTCGCCAATCCTTGTTTTTACGTCTGCATCGGATCCGCCTTGTTCATCGATGATGATGCTGTCCAGGTACGTGAAAGTTTCCATCTCCCAGAGCTTCTCCATCAAGTGTTAATGGGTTGGTGTTCTCCATGTTGCATCTGAGGACCTTGCCTTTTTTCTTATGTATGTTGAAGTCTACTGATGCAGAGGCTGCTGTTACATTGGCTGTATTCACCTTCATTTGTCCGCGTGTATAAGATGGAAAGGTCAAGTCATCTGCGAAGTCCGGATCGTCTAGCTCCATCTTAACTGTCCATTGTATTCTGTGCTTCCTCTTATATGTGGAGGTTTTCATAATCCATTAAACCACCAGAAGATGTAGCAGGGGAATAAGCAGCCTTGCTTGACTCCAGTCCATACTTGGAATGCATATGTCAGCTCTTCTTCATGCACCACTTTGCACTGTAACCCATCGTATGAATTCCGGATGAAGTTGACGATTTTCTCAGGCACACTATGGTGACAGCGAAGGTTCCATAAGGTCCTCCTATCCACACTGTCAAATGCTTCTTCATAGTCAAGGGAGTTGATGTATAGTGGCGAGTTCCATTCAATTCATTGTTCAATAATGATTCGGTCTATGCACGACTGGTCCTTACGGAATTCAGTCTGTTGATCTTGAGGTTGGGTGTCTACTGAATCTTTCATCCGGTTCAGCAACACTGTTGAAAACGTCTCCTGGTACTGATAGTAGTGTGGTACCTATTTAGTTCTCACACCTCCTTTGTTCGGAACATATTCTTCGTGACCAAAATACAGAAGCATCTCTCCTGAATCTATCCTTTTCTGTCCAGCTTCGGTCCTATGGGTTTCACTGATTCCGAGTACCGTCAATTTGTATCTCCTTATTTCCATAACTATTTCATTAGTTCTCCTAGTATCCCACATTGTCTGAACATTCCATCTACATATATAATTATTGTTGCTCTGGTTGTTAGAAGGGGCGCTGATCTCATGACTTCCAAAGAATCTCGGCTTTCATCATGAGGGATCAAAATTCTTCCTTCAACTCGGAGGACAGAGTTTAAATTGTTTAATCTGGTTAGCGTTTCTTAGCAAGGTCGTTTTTTACGGGATGTGTCAGCCGACCCCATGCCCAACCCTCCTCATTTACCCGGGCTTGGGACTGGCAGTAATCCTAGGAGAGCTACAGACGGGAACAGACTAGTGGACAAACTTTAAATATGCCACTGTTGAATCTACAGACGAGCAAATCATGACCATAATACTGGTGAATTTGATCAACGAATTAGTGAGTTAATTCATATTACTGACACTTCAAATTTACTTTCCTCTAAAATTTGAATATTTTTTGTCTATTGAAAAATTTTAGTTACGAAAGGATTGTGAACACTGAATACATGAAGCTATGGTGAAACCTAGTTTTATATATACGAAAAAAATACAAAGGAGTTAGACCATAAAAGAATTTCATCGATGGGAAGGAAAAATATTCTCCGACTTCTTGTCAGTAAAGATGTATAGTTCAATTATTATGTATTGTATCATAAGAAAATCAGATGCAAAAACTAATTTATCTTCATTTTTGTTAAACTTCTTTTACACCGTTTCACTGACCGAATGTCAAACAACCCTTTTATATCTGCATTGTGTATTTATCGCCAATTGGTCCATTATAACAGATACACACCTCCCTAAATCAGTAGTGATCACTGTGTTTAGTCATTACACTATTTGTTCTTAAACCATGTCAGTACAGATCAGTTCTGAACTATCATTTTAAATTTGACGAGTGTAAAATGTGTAGCACTGAATGTAGTTGAGATGGTGGAGAAGATTTGTAGCTCAGGTGGATGATTGATTTGTCTTCCTTTGTTATTTCATTCTTTGGTTTGCATAGGATTGATTGTAGCGACTTTGTCGGCCTATGTGCCACACCTATCTCGAAGGTTTTCAGCAGTCTTGTTGAGGTTTCTGGTATGCCTTCTATGTATGGTAGGGCGATCCTTTTGTTGATTTCTGTGCTTGACTTAGGTTCTGATGCTGCGTGCGGTTGGTATTTTTTGACAAAGTTGGTTGGGTAGCCGTTCTTTTGAAATACGTCGTTCAGGCATTCCTCTTCATATTTTCGTGCTGCCAGTGTGTCCTCGCTCACAAAATCAACTGCGTACACACTTTGTTCAAAAGGGCGAGGACACACTGAAACGCACTGGAAGGCATATCAGAAACCGCAACGAGACTGCTGAAAACCTTCGGGATAGGTGTGGCACACAGACCGACAAAATCACTACAATCAATCCTATGCAAACCAAAGGATGAAATAACAAAGGAAGACAAATCAAACACCATCTACAAAATGAATTGTGCCAACTGCGAAAAATACTACATCGGACAGAGAGAACGCCCCATCCACCTTCGCCTTCATGAACATCAATTAGCAGTCAAACGCCATGATACTTCACTTATATCAATACACATGGACAACTGCGGTCACTCATTTGATTGGGAAAATGTGGAAATCTTGGACAGAGGAAATTCCAAAAACACCAGAGAATTTTTAGAAGCCTGGCACTCAGCAATCAACAACCACATTGAAATCGATCCAATTTATCAACCAATCAGGAAAATCATACACAAATATAGGAACAAAAATCAAAATTCTAACACTTCACTTTTATCTGAAGTTTGTGCTGATGATGTCGTTCAGAAGAACGACGAAAACTCCACGACCAAACCATCCAGCTCAGAGAACAAAACTCCATCAAAAACTGAATGTAGTCTTTGCCTCACAGAATTCAGAAAACTGTGCATCTTGTCAGCGTCGTCACCTGACAGAACTATGTCTATAGATTTGAGTAGGAGTTCAACCTTAGAGAAGTACAATATAAACTATGATATCGATAAACTCAAAAATGTAGGGTGTAACCAAGCATCCTTAAGAGTTAACACCCGTTGTCTCTAAGATGACAATTCTCTTTACCCGGCTAGGTGGCGTAAAATTGAATTCTTCAAGGAGTACCAGTTCTCTGAAGATCATAGGTACACCTTGATGACGAGTTCCGGATACCACGAAACCCAAGGTCAATTTCCTGTCGAAAAACTAAATGTTTTCTTGTCATAATATAATGACTGAGGGGTTATTAGGTCCCATAACAACACTTCCTACCAGTCGATTATGGGAGTATATCCAAGATAGTGTGCATAGGATCTGGATTTATACCGAAATTAGTAAGGCGATAACTTAAATTATTTAGCACTTAAACTTCACTGTGTTGGCAACAAAAAATGACACACTTAAGTGACATTAAAGCAAAAATGTATCCATATACTTTATAAGAAGTATTTATTTCATTCGAAACGAGTTGATAGATAACAATCAGTTGTTTTGTGGATTAGCTTTTAATAGACTAGAACTATTTCAAACACTGATTGAAGATCAAAGATGGCTTTTAATTTTTAACCGGCACACTGAATTGTATAAGAAATTATGTGAATCCCATAGATGAAGACAATTTTCTATTTACGAGACGAGAAATCATGACATACTTGGCCATATTAGAAAAGGATAAACTAAGCACTTTAGAGTTCTGTGTTTTAAGAGTAGAAGTGGAGACAGATTCGTTTCTATTCTACAAAAAACAGCCATAATGTACAGGAGGGAGAAAAGTTAGAAATATGTGAAAGGCAGCTAGAAATTTAATTTAAAGAATAACTACATATTCGTCAATTCCGGAAAAGAGATGTGCTACTCGTTGAGAGCGTTTAACTATGGTGTCAGTAATAGATGTGACGTCACGAGAAAGTGTCTCTAATGTTGATTCCAGGGAATCGTTTTGGGACTGAGTAGAAAAATCTTTAGAAAACTGTGAACTGGGAGGAATATGTCTAGGAATGTCGGCAAAAAACAGTGAATTGGAAGACTTCTGATATGATGATGACAGAGTAGGTGAGGTTAAAGTAACATGTCCAGATGTCTGGAAAGGTGAATCCATAGTTTGAACAGTTGGGTTTGAGAAGGAAGGCACATTACTCGATAATGGTGCATTGAGTTGTTCAGGAAAATTGGTGCCAGTGAGTTCGCTGGGTCGATTACTGTGGGATGAACGGATTGCTGGAAGACGATGATCAATAACCCAGTTCAAAGCCTCGCGACCCTAGGTAAATAAAACAAGTTATTATCAATCTAAAAGAATCAAATTGTAATATATATATATATATATATATATATATATATATATGAAAGCGAAGTTGATATAACAATTTAAAGAAAGAATAACTGAGATAAGACCGAATTAAAAAAGTAAACTATATTCTAATAGACAAACAAAAATGATTTAAGGCTACTCTCTGCAACCCACTTCTTGACAATTTTTCTATGTGGTGTTTTATACAGTAGATAGCTAAACACTATCAGCGAATGTAATCCTAGATATTATAAAGTTTTAAGACAGATAATTTAAAAACTTCAATTGCTTCCTCACCCACAAGTATTACTTGGCATTATTAAATGTCTTCAAAAAGTGTCAGAAAGAAATCATAAGCATAAGGCTTTGCACAGATTCGTGATGGCTCAATCTACCACACCACATCATCACAACGAAGTAAAAATAACAAAAGAGATCGAGATCATGTAGTATCGATGATATAAAGAGCGACTGAATCTTGGGAATATGGTTCAAAAATATAGTGAAAAGGTACGTTCGAAGGGACCCTGAAATTCAGGAGTGAGAGGAAAACAAGGAGTGAATGCATCTGGACCACTGTGAACAATTTGGAGTCATCTGATCCAGAGTCTCCAACTACTGACCGAAGTTATCACACGAACTCCAACCAGGTAGTCTGTATCTACCAACATGGCTCAGATCAACAGTCAAGAACCTTGAAGAGTGATAAGATGATTTGGTTTGACTGACTCTAGTTTCCTTATAGCCCACTTCCACAGCAGACAGTATAGCCCCTAGAGGTAAGCAGTGGCCGGGAATTGGTAATACATATCCCAACCACCCTAGCCAATGAAGATCCATCACCTCACCAACCGATTCGCCATATTTACCCAGCACCCTATGCTTAACTTCAGCACTGGTCACTCAGTGGTCTCAAAATACCAGAATAAATCTTGAGAGACACTTGCCACGCATGCAACCTACAAATATCCTCTATTTTTGATTGTCACTTTTCACACCCATAGAATAAAATAGAGCGGACTGCGGAGAAGCATACACACCATTTGGTTAGCGAATAGATATCTCACCGTCACAAGTGACGTGAGTTGGCAAGCGCTAAGCGGGTTTTTTGAAGCAATAGGACACCAACCAACCAGGACTGATGAGACTTCCAAGATAACTGGTGGTCGAGGCACTTAACTGCTTCATTTCCTATCACTAGATCAGACGATGACGCAGCCCAGTCCTGAAGCAACATTTTGCATTCAGAGGAGGAGAAACACATCTCAGACATGCTAGCATTGTTGATCAAGGAGATCAGAAAACTTTGTATTTAGGTGGGTTGTGACTAGTAAAGTCCAAAAGTGTCGAGTGTGAGGCAGCTACCCACCGAAAACAACTGACTGAAGTTAAACATACAGACTATCGAGTTCCGGTTCAGTGGTCTAGGGGTTGAGTTGAGCGAGACCGATGGTTGTGGATTCGACCCCTGGTGGGGTAGTGATAATGCGCAGCTGAGGAATCCCATATTAAGACAAAATACCTGTCTAATGGCTTCTGGACTTCAATAGATGACTAGCTTATGTTGGTTCTTTATATCAATAATACTGGATTTTGTCAGTGTCTCCACCAAATAAGACTGTCATCTGCATATTTCAAGTCGATAAGCGGACATCCTGGGAGAAAAACCCCTGACAAATTGGGTAAAGTGTTATTTCTAGAAGAATATTTATTACAAAATTAAGCAAAAACGGGGAATAGTGGTGAACCCTGGAGAACACGTAAGGTTGAAAGTAAAAAAAGTAAAAACTTACAATACATTACACTATCTCACATAAAAAAACAAATATTTTAAGTAATATGGCTATTAAGGGTCTAATATTACCAAAAATTAATGCAACTTGGTAACCAAGAGGATGTTTTATGCTAGGTTCTCAATAATGCCAGTGGAACGGTTAGAGTTAACAGTTACATGTCGAAATTCAACCAGGTAGATAAATATTTCAGTTTGTAATTAAATAACTTGATTTAGTTTCCTAAATTATTGAACAATAGCTAAAGTTAAGAATAATACAAAATCTATGGGATCTGTTGTTTAATATCGATGACGCCTTTTTTGTTCCACAGAATTCATCAAAAATTGACCAGGCGATATACATGCAAATGGTGTTTTTCGGATAACTGTATGTGCAATAACATCACTTTTAGCAGTTGTTCAATGTCCATTTTGCTGTAGTTTACAAAGGTAAAAAGTACAGAATGGAATGACAAAATGATGACCGAAGTACTTATTTTACTTGTAATGAAATTTAAATATGTGACATATCTGAGTACGATAAAGAAATCGAACAAAAAACGTCAAAATTCCAGAACGTACCTGATGTGCATTTTGCTTACTCATACTTACAGCTGACATTGCAATAAGTGAGAACGCTTTGACTGAAATTGAATGCTCCAGAACAGTCCTGTAAAACAAATAAAGCTGATAGTTATGGTCAAAGATGAGGA